TATATATATATATATATATATTTGCTTTTAACTTATAGATTGTTGTTGTCAAATTAATGTTTTAGCATATTACATTGTTGTACATACCAAATATAAGCTTGACTAGCAGTTTTAAAGATTTTGAAGATCTTTCTTCATTCAAGGACTTCCTGATTAGAAAATAGTTAGTTAATGGTCAAAATGGCCATCGAATTAACTGACTTACCTTAAATGGACTTTGTGCTCATTAACTTGTGACTGCCCATATTTCAGTGCTTATATCGATGCTTATTTATTATGCTGGAATGTTGAGTTTAACCAATCATAACATAGCTAATTTACATACAGTATAATGGACTTAAAGGGACGGTAGCCTTCAAAAAGAGCCTTGAATTTTAAGACTTAGAAAGTTCAATACTTTTAAAAACAGCCTTTAATTTAAGTTTTGTTTTAAAAAGTTTAATTAATGCTTATTTACAATGGTGATTTGCTGAGATTAGCCAATCATTACAGAGCTCCTTTACATAGAGATGTCTTAAAGGTACAGTAGCCTTTCAAAACAGAGTTGAATTTTAATTTTAGACTTAAAAAGTTTAATCAGTGCTTATTTAAGATACTGGTATGCTGAAATTAGCCAATCATAATAGAGCTCATTTACATAGAAACGTCCTGACGGTACAGTGGCCTTTAAAACAGCCTTTAAATTTCAGTTTAATCAGGGCTTATTTACTATGCTGAGGTTAGCCAATCATAATCAATTTACATATAGTATAGAGATCTTAAAGGTACAGTAGCCTTCAAAAACAGTTTTTAATTTAATTTTAAGCCATACGTTTAATAAATGTTTATTTATATACTGGTATGCTGAAATTAACCAATCATAACAGATCTAATTTACATATATACATCTTAAAGGTACAGTAGCCTTTTAAAACAGCCTTTAATTAAAATTTTTTGTCTTAAATATCAGTTTAATCAGTGCTTATTTACTATCCTGAGGTTAGCCAGTCATAACAAAGCTCATTTACATATAGACATTTTAAAGGCACATTTGCCTTTAAAACAGCCTTTACATTTTGGCCTTAAAAAGTTTTATTCTAAAGGTCAGTGGGTGTTAAAAGTTGGTCATGTAAACCTAAGAAACCTTGACTTCAGTGTTAATTTTGACAGCAAATTTTGATTTAGTTTAAGTCATATTTTAGTCATCTGAATTGATTTAGTCTTAGTCTAGTTGTAGTCGAGTAAATATCATAAGACTTTAGTCAACTAAATCTACAGTAGATTTAGTTGACTGAAATCTAATGGGTTTAGTTACAGTGTAATGCATTTATTAAGCATTTCTCTAAAATATCCAAACTCATATGTTCCCGGAGAAAACATCTATTAACCAGGTAATATGAATGATATTAAGGGTTGAACATGCAATACAGACACAGATTTAACTCCTGTGGCACATGACATGTCTTTATCTCAAAATTAAATAAAACCACTTCTCAGAAGTGGATCACTTGACCAGAAGAATCAAGAACATGGTCCTCTTTTCAGTGAAATACCAATGGTTATAGGGCCTATAATAAGCATTCTTTATAACAACTTGCATACATCCTTCACTCTTTCAAGCAGACATATATATTTATGTAAATTAAATTTAGATTTATCCTTATTAGAACTACTAAAGTGATTCAGTCAAGAGCAGTGAGTGATTTCCTCTCTTTCTTTTGTTGATTCATTAACAATAAGGACACAGACAACAATAACTAAATTTAGGCTGCTGTTCCTTTAAAACTGACTGCACAGATTCTACTGGCGATATTTTCCCAACAGTTTACATTCACTTAAGACGTAACTGGGTGTGTAACATGAATACTCGTCAAAACTGACAATTTGTGATCAATTTGTGTGCATCTCTCCGTTAACATCTGTGAAAAAATGCCGTTGACGAAAATTATCGCGAATATTTTTCGTCAACAAAATTAGCACTGCTTGACATTCATTATAAATTAACTTCACAGAAAATTATAGGGTGAATTCAGGTAAAGTAGGGCACTGGTAACAACGCAGAGTAAAAAATGTGTAGAAAAAATGTATAGAATATAGTATCTAGAATATAGTAAAGCAATGGAATTTATTTCCTGTAGTAGACAGAGATTAAACCTTACACAGAACATTTACCCACCTTATGTTGGTACGGATGACAGTAGGTGGCCCAGTTTGTCACGTGTGACTGCATTTGCTTCAACAACCAAAACACTTGACTGTCTGCACACGTCGCCAAAACTGTCAGCGGAGTCTAATTGACATTCAAATGTATGCATGCACCTCCTCAAAATTTGATCACCCCTACCGGGAAGAAGGTATTGTAGGGCTGAGCAGTAAAGGTCTTTCTGCATAAATGACAGACGCCCACATATACAAAAGCATGTATTCGTACACTGCCGGGAAAACGCCAGCCCTGGAAGTTGCAGCGGCGACTCATTGTGCTTTTGAAGCAAACTCTTACGCTAAAAGATGCTTTCGGCAAAACCCCTGGCCGGCCCATCAACCGAATTTAGCAGCGCTGTCGTGAGGGATCCAGATTTCCCGCAGCCTGTCAGTGACGCGTCCAGAGCGGGACGGGGACAGCGAGATAGGGCCTGTCAGAAAAAACACATCCTCCTGGACGACAGGCCCTGAGCATTGCGGATCTAGCGATGGCGAGAAAGAGAGAGGCAGTCAAAACACAGCGGCGGGACTCCACTGGGGCTTGTGCTGCCGTTCCGCTCAGATCTATTTTTAATGCCCCAAACTCCACGTCAGCAAAAGGAATGCATAATTATAGATTCCTGAATAATTCATGAGGGGCTCATTTGAATAAGGAGGCGGTTATGGGAGCCACATACGTGCCGGAAACTTTTCCATTTGTTGTTCGGAATTTTAAGGTAGAGCCCACCCTTTTAAACAACATTGTCCACGTTTCTTGGAGAGGAAAGACATGTTTGCAATGTTTGCATCTCTCTCTCTCTCTCTCTCTCTCTCTCCATCCATCCATCCATCTATCTGTGTTGGGGAGTTACTAGTTACATGTAACAGAATTACGTAATTCAATTGCAAAATAAATGTAACTAATCTGTTACAGTTACTCTGAATTTTTTTTTAATTAAATTACTTATGAAAACGTTAACGATTACAAAGGGGGTTACAGAATAGGACACATGCTTATTCGATAACTGTTTTATTTCCTATGTGGGTTTATGTATATGCTTTATTTTTTAAGATTAACTGGTTTTTTTTTTTCGTTTTAACTTTTCTTTTTCTTTGTTAGATACCAGTGTTTCCTGTCATAGCTATGCAAAGAATTGATTTCAAAAACAGTATCATAGCTATTAAACGGTTTCTTGTTATTATTTTAAATCTGAATTTAACCTCTCAAAGTAAAATGAGGTGCTAAAATCTGATTTTGTGGTGGCTGTCTTTTAAAATTAAATTATTATAATCTTAATTCAAGTGATGAAGGATTTTGAAAGTCTGAAGTCAGCTGCGCCACGCGGATGTTTTCATTCAAATCAAAGCGTAAACAACGTAGAAAACGTATCCGTGTGGCGGGGCTGACACCGAACAGCATACGCTGTTTACATTCAGTGGATAATCTCCAAAATGTCGCTATAGGGTGATGCGGAGGAGACAAATTGTTGAATAAAGTCGTTATTTTTGTTTTCTTTGCACACAAAAAGTATTCTCGTAGCTTCGTAAAATTACGGTTGAACCCCTGATGTCACATGGATTATTTTACCGTCCTTGCTAAGTGTCTGGACCTTAATCATGTTAATTACATTGCTGTCTATGGAGGGTCAGAGAGCTCTCAGATTCCATCAGAAATATCTTAATTTGTGTTCCGAAGATGAACGAAGGTCTTATGGGTTTGGAACGACATGAGGGTGAGTAATTAATGACAGAGATTTCATTTTTGGGTGAACTAACCCTTTAACATGATGCCTGCCTAAGGAGAACCTGGATATTTTGCACAGTAGGTTCACAACTAAAATGTGCTCAAATCTAATAAAGTTCCTCTGATAGAAGAGCTAGCATCACAATAGTCACAAGATGATTGTTACTGATAATTCCCTTAATTCTCACAAGTCATGAGCCAGCAGACATGAAGACAGTCTGTCTGCAAGTTTGTGTGAACATATAAAATGAACGATAACACAATTAGAGCTTCAGAAAACTTATTTCAGTGCCTTAGGAGAAATAAAAAGAATCTGGAGTCAGTTATTTCTGAGCAAAACAGGTCAATTTGGCTGTATGATCATAACACCAAGGGAACACAACACTAGATAAGATATTCAAGCTAGTATCAACAATTTTAACTAAACATTATTCCCTTTCAAACATTTTAGGATATTAAACATTATTATTTCTGTTTTGCTATTTTAAAAGAATAGTTCATCCAAACTGAACATTTGCTGAAAATGTACTCACCCTCAGGCCGTCCAAGATGTAGATAAGTTTGTTTCTTCATAGGAACATATTTGGAGAAATGTATCATTACATGACTTGCTCACCAATGGGTCCTCTGCAGTGAATGGGTGCCGTCAGAATGAGAGTCCAAACAGCTGATAAAAACATCCACAAGTAATCCACACCACTCCAGTCCATCAATTAACTATGATGAAAAGCTGTGTGTTTGTAAGAGACAAAACTATGAAGGTGTTATCATTTTAAATGCTCACTTCTGGCGAAAATCCATAATCCATAGTCCATAATTCATAATAATGCTTACTTCAGTGAAAATGTCCATCCCCTGTTGCCTCTCACATCAAAATCCACCAACATATTTGTTTAGAGCTGTTTTGACTTGTAAACGGTGCTTAATTTGTGCATATTTCTCTCCTGATTCAGACCAGACGACTTTTTCTCTAGAGAAAGCAATTTTATGGATATAGGACTCGTGATTTACCTGGAAGCAACAGTTTGAAGTTAAAAGCGTCTCAATTATGGATTTGTTTTGTACAAATGCGCAGCTTTTGTCTTCTCCAGATGTTAACTGATGGACTGAAGTGGTGTGGATTACTTGTGGATTATTGTGATGTTTTTATCAGCTGTTTGGACTTTCATTCTGACGGCACCCATTCACTGCAGAGCATCCATTGGTGAGCAAGTCATGTAATGATAAATTTCTCCAAATCTGATGAAGAAACAAACTCATCTACATCTTGGATGGTCTGAGTACTACATCTTTGAAGGCCTGATGTACAATTTTCATTTCTGAGTAAAATATTCCTTAAATTTTTTTTGTTGTTGTATATAGTAGTAGTCTTGTTGTATATAGTAGTAGGGCTTTCAGGATTGCTTATTTATAATAAATAACTAGTCGTCCAGAAAAGTAGTCAAGTATTTTTTGGAACTTACACTTGATGGTATGTATTTTAATAATAATAAAAAAAATGGAAATCAATCAGTACCATAACATTTTTTTTTTTGGAAGAACAGTGACTCAAAAATTCAAAGTTATTGATTAAAATGACAAAATATGGTATCGCTATAATTCAGCAGCTCTTCAGCCATGAAGATAAAATATTGTTATATTAAAAAAAAATTAAGTTAAGTATATCTCCTCAAGTATTGACAACTGCAACATATACGCTAAGGCATATATTAACTCTTGGGTCAAGGTGAATATTGTGCTTTTGACCATTATTATGATGTTGCTGTGGACAGGAGCTCTTTTAATTTCATTGATCGGGAAGGCACACAAAGACTGAAATCGATACGGAGCGAGCGGCCGCCCTGTCGTCAGTCATACGCCGAGACTCCACCAAGAGTTCTTGAATTCTTATCAGAGCAGATGAAGCGCACGCGAAGGGTTTCGCCGAGCATTTTCCCTTTCTCTTCTTTGTGATAAGGCCATTTCTTCTGCCCTTGGACTTAATGCGCTGTATCTTTGTGATAATGTCATGCGGTATGACGTCTGACTGTGATATGCTCTCCACATATATATTTTGTGTTAATGTCTTTGTGTATTATCATAGCTAGCTGGAATAGGTCACAGCGCTCAAAGTGCATGAAACTCTTTTGAATGAATGAATGAATGAATGATGCATTTATATAGCGCTTTATTGTGTATTGTTGTACACCCAAAGCGCTTTACAATCATGAGGGGGGGTCTCTCCTCAACCACCACCAGTGTGCAGCATCCACTTGGATGATGCGACGGCAGCCACAGGACAGCGGCGCCAGTGCGCTCACCACACACCAGCTACAGGTGGAGAGGAGAGAGAGTCATAGAGCCAATCAAGTGGTTGGGGATTATTAGGAGGCCATGATTGACAAAGGCCAGGGGGGCAATTTGGCCAGGACACCGGGGTTACACCCCTACTCTTTACGAGAAGTGCCATGGGATTTTTAATGACCACTGAGAGTCAGGACCTCGGTTTAACGTCTCATCCGAAGGACTTTTCCTCGAGTCTCATAAACAGAGGGCTTTGATTATGAGAAAGGACATTTTGAGTGATGGTTTTTCATTTTTGGGGTGTTTTTGTTCGTGTTTTCCTCATTATGAGATTTACTTTCTTTATTTCTAGCCACTGACCTCTGATGATTGGATCCATACTAATGGTTTTGCACACACACACACACACACACACTCTCTCTCTCTCTCTCTCTCTCTCTCTCTCTCACACACACACACACACA